GTGATATTACCCATGCTGGGATGGCCTGTTCAATTCCAGTACCTTGATGCATTAAGGAAAACAAAGCAAGTGGCTGTTTCCCAATAGTAGTGGAAGACCTGAGTGCTCTGTTAGACCAAGCTGTGCTATGTTGTGTTAGATCACAGATGTACACGAGAGCTCTGTGGTGAAGCTAAGAAAATGCAACATGCAAACTGGGGAGAGGACAGTTAACAGTGGATATTTATACTGCTGTAGCATCTCGTTGTAGTCATCTCTGAAGGCTGAAAGAAGAAAAATGTAACTGAAAGAATGCAGCAATTTCTTTAAAAAATTTCTTTTTAATGGTAAGTTGTTAGCTCTTCCCCTCTGCTCCTGGGAAGTATTTCACTGATCTTGAAAGCCTCAGAGGTATGTGCATCTGAGAAAGCCTTGGCAGGTGAAAATACAGTGACTGCAGAAGCCAGGTAGTGGAAGATAAGAAACATTTCTTTTACAAGCTATTGTTGGCATTGCTGGATAAACAGAAAGTAATAAATTGGAATATTAGGTGTTGACTGAAGGGTCTTGAAGGAGTCAAACTGAGCACACAGGAAAAAAATAGTCAAAAGGCAAAGGAGAAGATACGACAAGTGATGAGACATTTTGCACATTCAGTTTTCCAGTGGAATGTTGCCTTCTTTGAGCTGATGACACTGTGTCATCTTGTCCTTCTGAGGCATCAAAACCTAAAGATTCTGGTCATAAGACAGAGGAGCAGTGATCTTACGTGTGTCTTACCATGATCCCTGCCCAATCTTTCTTTAAAGGAAAGGGTTTCTCAGTGAACGGTTGATGTTCATACATACCTTTGAAACTCGTTGATAGGGTACGTTGTGCTGAAAGCTTTGTGGCATTACGTCTCTTCCTGTTTCAGACCGTGAACTTTTTATCTTATTGAAGGTTTTTTTTGGAAGAGATAATAAAGTAGGCCTGTGATGACTGTGTTCTTTTGGCATATCTCTTAGTCTCGATCTTTGAAATATGTCTTGAACTCTGGATCCCTTTTCCTCCTCACCAGTCAGAAAGATCTAAGTGGAAATGTGAGATAAGTGACCTGGACAGGATGCAAGCGTGGCTCCAAGTAAGAGAAATACTCTTTAGACTTTGTAGATCTCCAGTCCCCCGAACTTTATAGGCCACAGGATATGTCTGGCCTCTGACAGAAAAATACTAAAACTGCCAACGGGGGAGAGTGAAGTAGGCATTTTTGGTAGTGCATTGCTTGCGCAGTGTTGTAACACGCTGACCAGTGAAACTCAGGATCTGCTGTTCAGGATGTTGGTAATGAAAATTTAAGTCACTTTTCCCCTCTCTGCCAAGAGGAGCAGAGTGACGATGTCTTCCTGTTTGCCCTGGTTGACTCCTGCAAGCTTGCAAGACAAACATTCAGGCTTTTCCTGAACCCATTGAGGTTGGTATGCAGCACTGATTTTTTTATTTATTTATTTATTTTAAAGTTTTGGTTATTGTTAACATTTGTTCCTTTTGCTTATTTGAAATATTAGACAAGATCAAATGAATACACTCACTTTATTATAGAAAAAAGGTTCTTGTCACGAGGATGGAGCCAGGCTCTTCTCGGTGACAAACAATGATAGGACAAGGGGTAATGGGCACAAGCTGGAACACAGGAGGTTCCACTTCAATTGGAGAAGAAACTTCTTCGCAGTGAGGGTGACAGAGCACTGGAACAGGCTGCCCAGAGAGGTTGTGGAGTCTCCTTCTCTGGAGACATTCAAAACCCGCCTGGACGCCTTCCTGTGTAACCTCATCTGGGTGTTCCTGCTCCGGCAGGGGGATTGGACTGGATGAGCTTTTGAGGTCCCTTCCAATCCCTAACATTCTGTGATTCTGTGTGATTCTGTGAATATGATAATGGGAAAGTACTGAAAGAATGGTATCATGTAGATCAGAGATGTGAAAGATATTAAGCTCCTCTTCTGACTCTTGCTTGTGATTTCTTAAAGGTACTGTACAATAGATCTTTGTAGGATGCTATTCCTTAGAAACAAATTCTATCCTGGAGTTTTATGTCTTCCTATCTGTATTTGGAGATTTAATACTTTAAATAATAAAGCAGATTAACAAAAACAAAACCCTCAACTCCTATATCCAGTACTTTCAGCTATCATTCTGTGTTGTGGCCTTGCTTTCAGTCTTGCGTTTATTCATAGATAACTTTCCCTGAATTAAAGTAAGACCATGGAGACCAATTCTTTTACGCTTATGTGTCTGTGCTGTCAAGAAGGCAAGTGTACTGCAGTCATAAACCTATCTCGTAACATTGTATCAAACTAAGTAAAGCAGTACATGGCAGGTTTCTAACACAAGGCTCTATTTATCGATGTGGCTGTGACAACCCACATGTTCTTCTCTCCCCTATTTTTTGATGTTAAATAATAAATAGGAGTACATCAAGTGGGCTCTTCTCCTTCCAAGAGAGCTCTTTGGGATTTACTATCTCACTGTGTTCTTCACTCAGTGTGTTCCTTTCAGCTTGTGACCTTTTTGCTGTCCCTAACAGTTTAAAAAGTGTGGCAAAACTTTGTGAATCATTCTGTCGTGAGAGCTATTAGCTGTGTATTATCTTGCCTTTTACAAACTGCAGAAGACGTAGTGATGTGACGAGATATGTTTGAAAATAGAGAAGCTCGAAGCGAGCAGTGCAGCACACACAAGTCTCCTGTCACACTGTCAGTATCAGAAAAAAATATTCTGAAGTCTCTCACTGCCAGTGAAAAACAGGAATCTGACCAAGCAGGAGAGTTTGAACCAATCTTGATATGACTCAGTGTGAAAACTAACTTTATTCTTGGAGATCCACACCAAAACCCACTTTCCTTCTTCAGCCTCACTACCTTGCCCTTCTTTTTTGTTTGTTTGTTAGTTAGTTTGGTTTTGGGGTGTTTTTCAGTGTTCTTTTGTTGTTGTTGTTGTTTTCCACTACCTCAGTTTCTGAAGCTGCAAGCTATTCTCTATGGAGGTTTTGCTGTCTGCTTTGGCCCAGGTGCTGTATGTTGTCTTTTTTTAAGTCAAAGTAACAATTGATTTGCGGCTGAGTTTTTGCCTCTATAAAGAATAGAGCTTCATCAGGTGCACAGGAGGACTGGTGACTAGAAAACGAAGCCACTCTGCTGAGCACGGATGTGTTGGGGTTGCCCCAGCAATCCACCAAGGCAACATCCTTGGCAAGCCAATTACAGCAGCTGAAAAGTCTCAGCTCATGGCGCAGTAACAAGCAGTAACACCCATCTGGGTGGGCTGGCTGCAGCTCAGCCTTGTACTCTTGCTGCTGGTCTCTCCCCCATTCCGAATCCCTTGGCTGTATTTAATCCTGCTGTAGTTTAAACACCTGTCTCTCTGGAATGTGTGAAATGTCCCTTCTACCCACGCTGAGCTGTTTGCTCACCTGCTTTGCTTAGGAAGACAGCTTTGAAATAAGCAATGATACAGTATTAGAGAGGAAAGCATATTGCATCAAGAGAGCAGGGCTGAGGTGGTGATTCATCAGAGTAAATGGTTCTTGGTATCAAAATGATGAGGAGAGAGAATTGCATAAAGTAATCTTCGTTTCACACATTGGATGTGCTAGCAAAGTTGCGATCACTGTTGCTGACAAGCGTAGAATTGTATATATCCTATTTCGTTTACCATGTGGGCCTCTGTATGCGCCTCATTTACCATTCTTGCTGCTTTTCAGACAATAAACTCTCTGTGGCTAGAAACTGCCATTGTTAGGTATTTGTATCGTGCCTGGCACAATCAGAACAAAACTTGATTTGAAGTTTTCTGTTATTGCAATGAAAGTGTTGGAATTTTTCATTAAATTCTACGGAAAACAATGACACTTAAGGGTGAGGTAGAGGCACTAAAATGACACTTAATGCTGTTTTTCGTATAAGGTGGGTAGCACTGCCCATTACTAAGCTTGCTTGATATGTCCCACTGTAAGACCTTGTTTTACATTGCTTGTAATGTTCTGAAACTTCACCCATTTGGACTCATGTTTTCTGTGCTTAATGCTCAGTTTCCAGAACACTTCAGGCAGGGTGAATTGTTCCAGCCAAAACGAAGGCTGGATAAACAAATATTCTGTGCATTTTAGTATCTACAGAACTTTTATTTTAAATCTCTGGATCTCCCATACTTTGGAATAGCAATTTGGAATTTAAAATATCCAGGCTAGTGATTGCACAGTAACTATCTGAAAAGCTTCAAGTCAAATATACTCAGCAGCACCTGCCAAAGCTTCATAGCTTCCTGGAGGATCCCTCCACACTGAGGATGCTAAACTGGATTTCTGTGTATTTGCACCTCTAGAGTACTGGGACTTGAGACCCCATTCTCCTGTGTTCTCAGTGACCTGGTCCATGTTGGGTTAGGAGCCTGTCTATCTTACATACACCTACACCATGATTTTAGGCTATCGTTAACTGGTCTGTTTACTTGTGTGAACAGTTTAGAAGTGGTTGGGCAAGATTTTCATGTGTAGTGGAGTTTGGGTTTGAATTTTATATCCAAGGTGCATCTGCTATTGAGTTGTGCCTCTACATACCCATAGAGAGGGGTAGAGAGGACAGATGCATATGGCTGCATAGTGACACAGCTCCTGATGTCTGAGCAGATGCTGTGGTCTCTGCTCAGTGTAACGTGAGCTTCTAGCTTTTGATTAGTGCACGTGGAGTTAATTTTTCATATGGCAGATGTGATATTGCTTTCCTTGAGGTTTTTGCCCCATCTTTGTCCTTTTCGTCCTTGGAAGGAAGGAAAATGGAAGGGTTATAGTTTTAGTGCTGGTACTTGAATTAATCTCAAGCATGGTGGCGGCTGGTGCCAGCTCTCCCATTGCCTTATGCAACTAGCACAGTTTTTCTGCATCTGAAGATTTCCCTTCTCCATCCAGTTCACTTAATGACACTTTTTGCTCTTTTCTTGGCTTTTAATTGTTGCTGATGTCTCCTTTTTTTTTCCCTCTTTAGTTAACAAACCTGAACTTGGCAAGCGGAGCCATCAGCAAGGGGAATGCAACCGTCCCACCGAGCTACCAGTCACCACTCAACAAAAGACGGTTGCTGTGGGCTGTTCAGTCAGACACTTGCATAGCTGACAGAAGATCGGTCTCTTCAGCAGTCAGGTAAGTTACAATTGCTGCTCCAGCTTTTGAAGAAAAGTGCAGTGCACTCAGGATCTCATCTGTCATTTGTGTTTGGCTTCTTGCTCAGAAGGTAACATCTAGGGGCCTACTACTGGTTCTTCTCAGGACTATTCTAGAAACTGTGTCTGTGATAATAGAGGTATGTTCCCAGTGCTGGCAGGTTCATGGTGAAATAAGGGCATGGATGAACATGTACAATGAAAGGGAAATGCCTGTTTTTCTTTGATAGTTTCTTATCTCTGCACCTGTAAGTTCAGCTTTGCTGGTGTTGAGATGCATATGCAGAATGCGAATTTATACCTGTTATTGCAGAAATCTCCACTAAGGCTTCATCTTCACGCTTTTTGCTTGAATATCAAGTTTAGGTTGTTCAAATACAGGGCAGCATCTTGCAGTGTTTGTGAAAGTTTCTTTTTCAGATGGCTTCTTTATGCTCTATTAATCTTGGACATTAGAATTTATATTTATGGCTGATATACTCATGGGATTCAGGCCAGAGGACTGTGATTCTGCAGTAAAACCATTCTTCCTGGGGTTGAAAGAACAGCAAGATTTAGTGCAAGGATTCTGGATCCTGGAAGCTACAAGCAAGGCAATGTTGCTGCAGTAGGCTAGACTGAATCCAGGTCCAGAACTGCTGGAGTTTTCAGTTCTTCCTTTGCCACTTCAGTAGGTAACATTTATTCCTTTGCCTAAGCCTTCATTTTTGTCTTTTAAAATAGAATTAATGAGGCAGAGCTTCTCCAACACAGGCGTTTAGGACTGGAAAGCACTGTATACATGAACATACAGGTTCTTGTCATTGGTGCCTGAATGCTACTGGGAAATGGAGAGAAGTGATGGGGGCAGACACACAGTGCAGAAGGCATGTGACCAAAGTGGTCATCCTTTCCCAAACGGATCCCTCAATAGGAGGATTGGGATAGGATTTGAAAAGCTCAAGTAAAATTGTTCTTATTTCATCAGTCTCTGCTTTTCATCCTGCCTAAAGAGGAGGAATGTGAGAAATGAATTCCTGGCCTGTTTCTGTTCCAGCACAATGTTTGCCTCTGGGGTTTAGAGTTATTGAGAGAGGTGGTGGTGATTCTGCTCTTGGAGCCCAGCCAGGCGAGCTATTACCTAATCCAAATAAAGAACCTATCCAGCAGGTGTAAACTGCCTTCCCCTCCTGCGTAGCTTGAGAGAGCGGCAGAGTGCAGGCTGTCCTAGAGCTTTCGTTCCTTTCTTAACTCTCCTTGCACCTCTGCATGCACTCACAGACACAGCTGGAAAAGGCTTGCTGATGGTCAAAACCTGCTGTTGCAGGACTCTGCAGAAGTCACTGTAAAAACAATGTTGCTCTGAAACCATTTCAGTTATGTATGTTACCTGCAGATCTGAAAACTCACTATTTAATGTCTGGAACTTCACTCTGAACGACTTCAGGGCTGTGCCTCATCTAGCACTGTATGCATAGTTTAATGTCTTTAGAAATTCTGTTTCTTTGGACAGCAATCCAGAAATACTTCAGAATTGTCTGTCCACAACTGGTGTAAGGTTCCATCTTCATATCTTTTAGGAACCATTTGGTCTTTCAGTACTTCTGTTGCTCTGTTCTTAGAGCAAGAGACAGAAACATGTCTTAAAGCCCTTTACTGAATTACTTTGTCTTCATGGCTGCTTATAGCAAATGGCCAGAATACCAAGAGTTAAAAGTCTTATGTAAATCAGGAAATTAAAGAAGAGATTTTTGAGGCAGTGCTGGATTACTTGGGCTATGAACTTTTATTTAATGAGAGAATTCCAAAAGGAATATCGAGGTCATGATATATGGAGATGGCTATCTTGTGTTGTAAATGCCTTTTTTTGCTACTTGATCTGTTACATTGGAGCAAGCAGTTCATAGAGGGTCATCTGATGGGTGTCAGCCTGTGCTCAGCACTGGATGGCTGACTGAAGAAAAGCTTCCTGTTTTGTTCCATTAAGGTTCTGGTCTATCAGTTGTAGAATTCAGCAAGGATGGAAATGTTTTGTAAATGGGTCTCTTATCTGACTTGCGTTTGGCTCCAGTTCAAACATCTGCCTCTGAAACTCAGTCCTTACAGATTTTGTATGGCTCTGTGGTAAATCGAAGCCATTTTAGTGCTGCTGAGGTTAGTTTGAAAAATTTATTTTGGTGCTTGCAATCTATAGGATTCAGGCTATTTTTACTGACAAATCTTCCTCCTCTTGAATTCCCACTCTCCCAGTACTTACTTATCTAAATGTTTCTCAGAAGAATTTCTCCCTTCTTTCTTGAATTCTTTTGCCTGTATGAGATGAGATGCCGAATCGGTAGTCTGCTTGCCAAAAGGCAAAGGAGATCTTGAATTTGTAATGCAGAGACAGAGAACAGTTCTGGATATGCTAAAATATTTTATAAATCTGCACTCTTGTGTCTTTAGGGTGGTGTTTTGTCACTTTCTATAAGCATTGGCGCTATTCCCACTCAAATGATGGGTTAGGTTTTCACGGTGCCCCAGACAAAGAAGCGTGCAGGGCTACACAAGAGGTGAGATGTTCCAAGTTGTACAGGGGCTTACGTCGGACTAACTATAACATGACTGTCAGCCTCTGCCACACTTGCTGCAGCCCTGCCTTTGTGGCCCTCGGTAGCTCATTGAGACTCTGCCAAATCTGCTCTCTTCTTCTTTAACCCATATCCTGTCTTGGTGCCTTATTTCAGTTCTATCTCGACTTCTCACTCTGTCCATCAGGCAGGTTTGTAACCCTTTCACATTCTGCTGTAAAGGCACTAAACATGGTTACATGTTTTATAGTAGAAGTATTTAAGTTTCCCATATACATTTTTATCACAATTTTAGTAATGTAACCTAAGGACAACAAATAAGAAAGAGATTCCTCATTAACCAGTGAAGCTAATTTCCAATCACTGAAGCCAGGACCTTACTAGAACTGCTCTTGAAAAAGCATTCTCTTGAAGGCGTTCTCAGTTGCTTATAAAGGTAAAAAAATCCTGTGTCTAAGAGAATGAAGCTTGTTGATTCAGAGCCTAAACTAACTTCTGAGTACCTGTTGGCAGGTAGTCGCATAATCCCTGGTGGCGGGGACAGCAGATGTTCCTAGAAGCTTCTTGCACTGGAGTCCGCAGCTGCTGTGCCACTTGTGTTTTGAAAGAGACAGCAGATTTCTCCTTAAAAAGTAACTTGGGCTCTGCAGGTCACTTGATCTCCAAGACTTAGACCAAAGTTAGTGATAAGGATTTCTTTCTAACGGGTACAGATTTCTGTATTTTCAGCGGACACCTTGGATTCAACAGCAGCCACCCTTGCTCAAGTTTTATCTTTTGGATCCCATATGGGCAGTCTGTTGGCAAGAATTCAGCAGTGAAATTGCTCGGTGTTTTCTCAGACCTCTGTTTAATTAGCTTCTTGTTCTTTCATGCCATCTTTTTCAAACCTAAAGACAACACCAACCTAGTTCTTCTGAAGTGCTCAACGTATTTTTTTCCTTGGATCTTATGACTGATTTATCTGACTTGGTAAGGGGAGGCAGGCAAGCAAGCTTCCCTGTCATCAATCAGAGGATAGAATGGCACTCCAAATTATACCAGACAGCCTGGGAGGGCTACAGCAGTCAGAAACGAGGGATTCTCCTCATTACTTGACATGACCAAAACATTTCTTAGCTCATCATTTCAGCCAAGGTGCTCAGGTTCATTGAGAAATGAAGTTCTGTTGGCAGGCTGTCTAATCTGGGTTAACTTGTATAAAACCAGACTTTTTCAATTTTCTGATCTAAGGGTTTCCAAGTTTAATTTGCTCTGGTGTCATTCTCAGTGGTGGTAACAGCGGCAGCTGCTCAGGGCTTCATGGGCTATGTGCGCATACATTTCGTATGTCCAGGTTCCCAAAGAGCCTCCACTTTGTGTATTTTCATTTTATTTTTCCTTTCCTGGAAGTATCAAATGAGATGGGACAGTAGAAGATGCCACCCAGACATTTGGCATCTCAGGCTTTCAGGAACCCCAAACAGTATGCCTCGTGTCTGGAAATTCTCAGGGTATCTGATGTGCAGTAAGCCTGCAGCTTTTTGAGGGGAAACGGACTTCATACCCACTCACAGCATAGTTACAACATTCACATAGTAGGTGCTGCTTGATCACATTGCATGTATTTACTGCTCACATACAAATCAACTGATCAATGTGGGTGCAGGAAATCCAGCACCACTTAAAACGTTAGCTTCTTGTGCCTGTTTCTAACAGCAAATACGTATTTATTCGTATCCCAAAAATTCTAGACAAAAAAATGATTACACACCTCGGCTCACAAACTAAGACCCCTGTGCTGCATCCCCTGACAATCTTAAGCTGCTTTTGCAGACTCTAAAACCACAACCTTCTTCTTAACTGCTGGTCTTCCTTACCTTCCAATGGGTAGTGGATACTTTATATCCTCCTTTCCCTCCTAGTGCCTACTGCTTCATGCTGGTTTCATTTACTGCTAGGGTTACATGTACTACATGTTCTAGATTTCAGATGTTCTGCTCTGATCATGCTAAGTACACATCCTCTGGACTTGTGAGGATGTGGAAGAGTCTCTGATCTCTTTTGAGAGTTTGTTCTGGGCTGGCTTCTCTATTTCCACTGAAACTTCGAGTTTTGCTAAAGAGACCCCAGACACCTATCACAGGCTAATCGTGGTCTACCAGTCTTGATCCTTTGTGTCAAAGGGTCAGCTTGCTGCATTTGACATAATGGGAAGGTGAAAGTGGCTTCACTGTTTCCTTAATTTTTATTTTAAATGTTGGAGGTGTAGAATGTAAAAAAAGAAATCAGGCCTGGACCGTGACTAGACAGGCTCTGAAGAGCTGTGAGAAGAGTGATACTAGAATAGCCAAGAGATGTGCTGATGTGCAAGGTGATTCTCACAGTGGTAGAAGGGTGAGCAGTTGATGGGACAGTTTTGGTTTTTTGCAAGACTTGTGAGCTAGGCCAG